CTCATGCATGCAAGGCAAGTGCTCTACCACTGAGCCACCTTCCCAGCCCAAGGTGGTAGAATCTTGAAGGATGAAATGTTTTCTCCCGTTCTCAAGGTTGTATTTTCATTTGTTGATTCCTTCACTTGATCCTGCAAAGAAAGTCTGGGTTTCTGAGATCATCCCATTTGTTTTCCCTTAGACAATGCCCTTAAATGTTCAAGTTTATGTACCTTCTTCCAATCTCTGAGCAGAAACAGCTGTTTGAGACATTTGCATTCATTGTCCACAAGGGGGCACTTGCAGGGCAAGAGTGCTAAGGAGCATGTGTTTGGAATGTTTGTGGTCCAGCTGGAAGATGGATTTGCAGGTGAGGCATCTTAAAGAGCTCAGAAGTGATTTTCTTGATAGATTCTAGAGAGTAGTAGTCCCATGCCCCATTTTCCCTGCCCCCATGCCTTTCACCAATTCATTGTGGTGAGTTCAGTGTTTTAGGTGGAGTGAGAAAAAACTGGGCCTCTTGGGTAGTCCCTCTCACTCATTATATTCCCACTTTGCCTTGTGGGAAAAGTAATTTCTTTTTGGTGATTTACTTCCAATGAATTGCCTAACAAACCGAAAAACCAATTAGGTGTTATACAGGATGCCTGGCATTTCTATTATCCACACTCATAGCATGACATTTTTGTAAGCATGCATTTACTCTGTGATGAACCAGGTTTAATTTCAATTATGTCTGTCTTCTAGGAGCTTACTGAGATTCACTTTATACTTGCTTAGGGAGTGGAATTAAACATGCGTTTTTCTCCAAGCTTCACTTCACCAGCTTCTTAAAGAGCAGTGCCTATGTAATTGACGCACTCTATAATATCTTCTGGGATCACTTCATAGATTGATATTGGGAATAGTTCAGGGGACAGTATCTCTCAGCCTGTTATATTTTCTGCTAATGTACCATAGAGTAGGTAATTTAGGAAGAACACATTTTATTTTCTACAGTTCTAGAAGCTGTGAAGTCTAAGATCAAGACACTGGCCAACAGTGACTGGTAAGGTCCTTCTTGCTGCATCCTCACAAATTTGAAGAATGGGAAGTCAAGGGCCATTTAAGGCCTTTTATAAGCACTAATCTCATCTATCATGGCTGAACCCTCATAGTCAGCTCCTAATCACCTTCCTAATGTTGAACTGTAGATCATGTGTCAATACAAGTTCAAGCACCAGTTCTGACAGAAAGAAAGAAAAAGAAAGAAAGAAAGAAAGAAAGAAAGAAAGAAAGAAAGAGAGAAAATGAACTCTGTTATTAATGTATTTCAAAATAGTGGACATATGTCAAAAGCACAAAAATGCTGTATGATCTAAAATGAACTTTTGATGATAGGAATGGTATCTCTGGTTTACTCTGGGGTTAGGAGTGGCAGAAGTGCAAAATGTATTATGGAAGTCTTTACTGAATATGGCAGTGTTCTCTACCTTGGTGAAAGTATAAGTTAAAGCAGTGCATGCCCTTGCCCAAATTGACAGTGGCATGTTTTAAGATTTCAGCAGTTCATCTTATGTAAAAAATAGGATGATATAAATGAACTTAATTTACTTTTATACATAGTTGGCCATGTATAATATTCATAAATAAGTATAATTACCTAATTATGGGGCATAACTATAAAACAAGCACTTGTGAATCTACCACACAACTTAACTAAAACACTGAAATATGTTGCAACTCCTCTTTTATTCTCATGTGTCTGCCATCCTGAATTTTGTTTCCTACCATTTTTAAAAACAGCTCTCTATCTATCCAGTGTAGTGCCCAAGTCGCAGGACCTCCACCAAGAAGACCACCGAGAGTCAGATGTTCCAAAATGCACTCCAACACAGCGGAGCCTAGGAGGAGAGCCTGGAGCTTAAGATTTGCAGGGCTTATAAAGGCAAACAACCAGGTGTTTGGATTACCACCATATGTTGCTCTGCTAGCTGAGATAATTGGTGGTCTAGGTTTGCTCACAGGATTTGCTTATCTTAGGTTTAACCTTTCAGTTTAAACAAGCAACAAATGGTCACTACCTCAAAAATGGAGTTAACCCTTCATCCATAACAACATATTATTTTATTATGCTGATTTTTTTAACTTGCTAAAAAAATTACGTGGTCTTCTGTGACTTGCTTTTTTGCTTTGACCAATTCATGTTATTTTGGGTGGCTAATAAAATGAATAAATTGTGTGTGAACTAATCACAGTTTAGTTTTCCATACTCCTGGGAATGGCTGCCATGGATGTACACACATACATGTGGCATGCATACATATGTACACATATATACGTATATACATATACGTAAATATGGCATGTGTCAGAGTGTTGGGGATTGAACTCAGTTCTGGAGGTTACTCTAGCCTAGAGGAAGCCTTAGAGGCTAAACTGAATGAAGTGCCTGTTGAGAGGCTCAACTTGCTCCCTGTGGTACTTGGCACCCTGACTCTGGAGGAAATAGCCCAGAATATCTAGAGGCTTTGATCACCAATGTCAGACAGATGCTTGCAAGAGTGGGCTTAGTCTTTCCAAGTTCTACTGTTTATCCCTGAGATCTGCACATGGTGAATGCAGGTTCAGGTGCAGGATGTGTCCCAGATCAATCTGTCCTCCTCCAATAGAGGGTAACTTGTGAGACAGACCTGGATGACCAGCCCAGTGAGGCCTTTAGTCCTATTTCTTGAGACAATAATGTATAGACTCTACAGCATTGTGGTAGATAAAGGGCAAGGGGTACAAACAAGGAGGATTCTTGAAGCTTCTCACATTCATAGTCCCTTCTCAGATATGTGGAATCTTGGCAGAGGCCACTGGAATCATGTTGGTCATATCTCTGGACTAGGTACTAGTATTCTGGACATGGTCACTCAAGCAGTGACACTGAATGAAAACTTGAATTTGTCACTTCAGCCAAGAGACAAGAAGAGGCAGGAGTAATCTGCAGCATTGCCAAAAAGGAGAGAGGCTCTCTGTATATATTGCTTGTAGCACACTTGAATTTATCTATTAAATTGCCAGCAAATATTCAGATTTCATTAAATGAATAATTTCAGGGTTAAATTGAAAAACAGAAAGAAACCTGGCATAATGGTATGTGCCTGTGGTCCCAGAATGGAGAAGATTAAGGCAGGAAGGTCAAGAGTTCAAAGTCAGCCTGGATCATACAAGACCCTATCAAAAGAAAGAAGGGAAAGAAAGGAGAAGGGAATAAAAAAGAGAAAGAAAGTGACATGTCTAAAGAGAACAGGATTAAAACTGGGGGAAAAATTTTGAGCATTGTGCATTGACCTCAGAATCTTTGCCCCAAGGGGAGTCGCAGGAGAAAGAGAGAGAGACAGAGAGACAGAGAAAGAGACAGACACAGGGATGAGAGCTACTACTGACCGACCAATCAAAGTTGGTATTTGAGATAATACCTATTCACATTTCTTCTAGTTTGGCTACAAATAGAAACAGAAGGAAAGAACATAAAGCAGGCAGAAGGTCAGATTATTCAGAACTCCTCTTCAATGTCCTTTATTCTGAAGACTTTTGCTCTCCAGCTTTTGCAGGGTAACTAAATAAATGCTCTTGGGTTCAGTTTGAATATTCCTATTTGCTTCTGCATGGTATATTTGACAAATGTGGGGCTTCATGACACTGTCTAACCAGACTTTTTAAAGCCCGTTTAGGAAAATATACGGATAAATGAAAAAGCAATTACATCCTCTGAATCTTGCATTTAGTGATAATGACTGTCATTATTCTTATTTGAAACATTGTCAAAAATAGAGTAAATGTTCCATATAGAAAGAATACCATTGATTTAAGAATATATCATATCACATTTTATTTTTTTTTGTGGGTCGTGGGGCTTGAATTCTGGGCACTGTCCCTCAGCTCTTCAGCTCCAGGTGAGTGCTCTACCACTTGAACCACAGCCCCACTTCCAGTTTTCTGGTGGTTAATTGGAGATAAGTCTCATGGATTTTCCTGCCTGAGATGGCTTTGAACCGTGATCCTCATATCTCAGCTTCCTGAGTAGCTAGGATCATAGGCATGAGTCACTGGTGTCGGGCCTATCATATCACATTTTAACAACTCTGAAACCATGATATAGTAACCTATATTTATGGATGACAGCATATTGGTAGCATTTTTTCTTAAAAGCTGATAAAAATGGTACATTAACAATTGATGTCAGATTTTATATCATGATAAACATTGTGTGTATATATAGTATTTTATACATTTTAAAAATAGTCCTCTGAAATGATTCTGAAAATTATTCAGGGTGATATTAAAAGCTGCTTTATAGTTTTCTTCTTACTTGATACTTTAACAATGAGCCTTTTTCATTTTTAGAAAAGAAGTAAAGTAGGCTGGGAATGTGGCTTGGTGGTAGAGTGCTTGACTAGCATGCATGAAGCCCTGGGTTCGATTCCTCAGTACCACATAAACAGAAAAAGCTGGAAGTGGCTCAAGGGGTGGAGTGCTAGCCTTGAGCAAAAGCAGCTCAGGGACAGTGCCTGAGCCCTGAGTTCAAACCCCAGGACTGGCAGAAAGAAAGAAAGAAAGAGAGGGGAGGGAGGGAGGGAGGGAAAGAGAAAGAAAGGGAGGGAGGGAGGGAGGGAGAGAAAGAGAAAAAAGAAAGAAAGAAAGAAGTAGTAAAGTGATTAGTCTAAATAAAACATAGTTGCTGACAGATCTAATATTACCATTTTAATACACAGAGATTAAAGCTCAGAGAACTTAAAGAGGTTGCTCAAAATTTCCTATCTATAAGATACTGGGGCAAGAATTTGTATCCAGGCCTGATATCAGAGGCCAGACCCCTCTGTGATGTTCACCTTGTTCCTGCAAAGGAGAGATTGAAACTCAAGAGACTTGCTCAAGTCTCATGCCATTCTCTTCTACACTTTCTATAATATTTTAAAGTGATGCTATACTCACATTTCGACTTTCAGTTTTCTCAACTTTTGATAAATTTCTTAAACATTTAAAAATAGGGATTGGGGATTTAGCTAAGTGGAAGAGCCCTTGCCTGGCAAGTGCAAGAGCCTGAATTTGGTCCTCAGCTGTGCAATAATAGCAATAATAACAATAATTATAATAATATAAAAATAGATAATTCTCGGGGCTGGGAAGGTGGCTCAGTGGTAGAGCGCTTGCCTTGCATATCTGAGGCCCTGGGTTCAATTCCTCAGCACCACA